ATGTTGGGACATATGGTAAAAAAATAGAAAGAAAAAAAAATTGTAGTTTATGTGGCAACTCTGTTGCAACTTGCAACTATTAAAAGAAACAAAGAAAATTCACAATGTCAATTATATGAAAGACTAGGAATCTATTGCACAACCGACCCATAATACCAAAGTATTTATGGTTGAAAATGATACTCTCAAATTCTAAACAAATAGATCCAAAAATGCAACAAAAGACTATCGAGAAAGAACTTATGCTCACAGACGCCCTAAAAAACATTGATAAAATAAATAAATTATACGACAAAAAATTGATTCCGTGCATGATACGGAAAAAAATTGATCCCGCGCAGGACTGTTAGTTTTCAAAATCAGGGATAATTGGTCAAACATTATTTATGTGATGACAAATTTGTTGTCAAACCCGCCACGATTGTTAATTGGTTTACAAACTATTTGTTTTGCTTGTGTAGTTAGTTTTACCACAAGGGGCCGCCAATTATCTCTGTTATCAGCATGTACGGACTCCTAACGTTATTTGTAATGGATAGAGATATCTGGCCGAGTGTGTTAAAATTTTATAATAACATCTCATTATTCAGAAATAATGACCTATAACAATTTCCTCTTAAAGCCGATACAATTTTTTTTTTCTCAAAATGGATAACATACTTGCAACTAATTAAATTATGATACACAAGTTGACATAAGATGAGAGGAAGTGGATGGAAGGCAGAAAATGAATAGGAATTAGGGTATGAAAAGAGAAAAGTGGTTTCTCATATTCAAAGCAATTCACGTAGTCATGGCCACGGGTCAGCCTGACCTGCCGGTTCAACCGAACTACCCCGGACTCGGCCCTGAATCGGCCCATGGTCAATGAGCATGGACCCGACTCCTGTATAAACTTTTTGACCCGGCCTGGAGACATGTCAGACGTTCAATCTTTTTCCCATGTGCACCGGGCCGGTCCCGAAAAACCGGGTCGGTGATCCGGCCCAAAACCGTCGGGCCGATTTCGGGTACGTGTTTTCAGGCCCGACGACTGCCGGGCCACAACTTCATGCTTGAGGATATTTTTCAGACAGAAAAGAAACATCTAGCAACAAATAAAAATTATTAAACCTAAAAAAAAAATCCTAAAACTACACATGAGAGAGTTAATGATGAGGCCACATTGCCTAAAAGTAGAAGGATCAACTCCTTTAAAAAATAAGTTGAAAAAGCAAATAATCAGACTCAACTCAAATAAAGAAACGTACAAATTGGCCTTAAAAATTAATAAGAAACAAAATTAGGGAATTTACACTTCTGCGGTAATGAATTGCTTTTATTTGCATATATACCAAATATAAAACTTAATTATACTTATATCTAACTTAATCAAATTATTTGTATACGTACAATATAATAGCAACGGATCAAGTCATAAATGACTTACCATAACAAATCCCCGTAACTGACGGGATGTATGCTTGGAGAGAGAATATCTAGTAGAAAATTAGGAGGATCCCACAATTTAAGGGGTTCCTTCTATATAACAAATAAAAAAAATAAAAAAAAAATAGAAAGGTAAATTATAAATAATGTTTTAGATAGATTCCTACAAATAAGCAATTTTAAAATGTGAATTAAAAAAATAGAGGATCAAAAACTATGAAGAACAATAAATCGCACGAAAAATATGAGGATTGTGTGGCTAAATAATTGTTTCCAACATGTACTATACATGCTTTTGGGATTTTCAACCTAAAATATTTTATTTTATTTTTTTTTTTTTTGGTAAAATGCAACCTGAACTACATATATACAATTATTTGCACGCTCGACTACTTTTTTACCGTCCGATCATCCGCAAAAAAGGACACGTGTATGGTCAAGATGTCGTCGAGCGTGCAAATAGTGACTGTATATGTAGTTCAGGTTGCATTTTACAACAAAAAATACTTTAGGTTGAAAATCACAAAAGCACGTATAGTACAGGTTGGAAGAAATTATTTACCGGATTGTGTACAATGTACAAGTAATATAATCGGACATATACATGACATATACATTTTTATGTCGGCGTTTTTTATCCCAATCTTCGTTTATGTTGGATATATACATGACATATATATTTTTATATACATCTACAAATAATACGTGTATATATCTCAGTCTTTGTTTATGTCGGCATTTTTTATTTATCGACTTTTTTACTGGATTGAATTGTTTATAGTTCTTTCAAGATATAAATCATGAATAAAACCATCCCGCAATACAAACACCTCGCAATATAGACTATATATGGGAGATATACAGACTATATATGGGAGATATATAGACTATACACGAAAGATATACAGACTATACACGGATGTCCTTCCTTTTTTTTTTTTTCAGTTTGTTCATCACTATCTACAAACTCATCATCGATCAGCATCTCGTCCCATGTCGATCTTTTCATCTTCTACAAAATCGGAATCTTGTTCGGGATTTGTCTTTACGAAAGTGTGAGACCTTTTATTCCACCGTGGTCGCTTCTTCTACGATTGTTGTTCATCGACATCACTAGCGACATTCGGCCGATAATATTTTTTTTTTTCCGGTTCTGGTACAAGATTTCTTGGAGCCACTATTTTTGGGTTTAGTTTGAAACTGCAACTTCATTTGGACAAGCCTGCGGTCGAGCTTGTGATTTGTCTTGCGAAGGCAAGAATTGGATCATCTCGGCCCGTGTCGATCTTTTCATCTTCTGCAAAAAAAAGAATCTTCTTCGGGATTTGCCTTTGTGAAAGCCTGATACCTTTTATTCCGCTGTGGTCGCTTCATCTGCGATTGTTGTTCCTCGACATCACTAGCGACATTCGGCTGATAATTTTTATTTTTTTTTTCCGGTTCTGGTACAAGATTTCTTGGGGCCACTATTTTTGGGTTTAGTTTGAAACTGCAACTTCATTTGGACAAGCATGTGGTCGAGCTTGTGATTTGTCTTGCGAAGGCAAGAACTGGATCTCGGCTGTTGGTGTTTTCCTTCGTTGGTGGGGTGAGATAATGGAGTGTGAGACGATGGACAAAGAAAAAGGAAAGTCTAAAAGTGAAGAATGGAGTGAGAGAAAAGATGATTGATTGACAAGAGAGAGAATTGAGAAAGATGGTGGGGAGTTGAGAAGGATATATACGTCCCATGATTTTAATAAATCTAGTAGGAGTGCAATTACTTTGCGTAGTTGTTAAAATTTTGCTAATAAAATATATGGCAGTATATTTGCAAATATTTTTGAAGATCTCGTGCCTGGCATAATTTTCTCAAAAAAATTGTCGTAATTACAAAACTATATAAGGGAGTTGTAGAGTTCGCCACGTGTCACATAACCAACCCATACATAAAATTCTAATAGCCCTCATATCCCTTTCCTTAATTTTTTATATTAAGTAGATATAGAGGAAACTTTATTATGTAAATAGAATAATATACAAACAACTCAAAATTAAAGGAATTATACATCCCTCTCCATAGGATGCATTAACAAAAAAAGAAAAGATAAAAACCTTGAGGACAATCTAAAGTTAAATAAAAACCCAAAATAATGGACCCCACAACCAGACGAAATTTGTCAAATGGAAGAACAATGAAAAGAAGAAAAGAAATAAATGGATGAGGTAAATTGAAAAGGAAATTTTGGAACCTGCACCACAGTGAAAAAAGATGAAAAAGAGGTAAAAAATTATTAATTAATAAAAAAATAAAAAAGTCCAGCCCAATATTAAGTAGAGAGCTAGTGGGCGTAGGAATGACCACTTGGCAACTCAATATCCCTCTCAACTCCCGTTTATTAAGATGTAGACTAGGAATCTTATTGTTGTGCAATGCACAATCGGCCCATAATACCAACGTATTTATATTTGAAGGTGATACTCCCGAAATTTATACGACAAACAATTGAACCCAAGCAGGACTGTTAAAACACGACTCTTAGTTTTCAAAATTCAAAGGCAATTGAACAAACATTATTTATGTGATGACCAATTTGTTGTAAAACTCGTCACACTTATTAATTGGTTTTAAAACTATTTCTTTTGTTTGTGTAATTAGTTTAACCACAAGGGGCCGCCAATTATCTCAATTTTCAGTATGTATGGGCACCCGACCTATTTTGTAATGAATAATTTTTTATGAGATATTTGCTATTGTATTAAAATTTTGTAATAACATCTTATCATTGAGATTGACATACAATTTTTTCTTAAAACTGGTATATTTTGGGATGAAGTTAAGATGAGTGTTTTTTTATAATAAAACACAATTAATTTTTTTAATAATAAATGGACTTAGATGGTGTAGGTGAGAAGACGTGCCACAAAAAAAAATCAGTTTTTTTAAGTGGTGGGCCCCACGCCTGCAATATTGTCTAAAAAACATTTGTCAAGACATAAAATTTTTTCTCCAATTCAAACGGGTATGTTAGTTTTTTATGAAATTTTTGTATCCACCACACCCTAAAATTTTGTGGTCATAAGGCAAAAAATAAAAATAAAAAGTCTAATGCAAGTCTACTCTACGATGCAACTCACTTTGAAAATCTAAATACTATTATGCTAATATAGTATTGAATTGTTCAGTGCACTACAATTTTTTTTATCAAAATTTATTTTCTTTCAAATTAATTTTATTTTTATTTATTATTTTGACAGATTATATACTAATAAATTTATTTATTTTGTTAAAAGTTAAAATTTTTGAATTTATAGTGTTGCTTAAATTTATCATTATATAATTATATAATACATTTATAATAAAATTTAGGGAAAAAATCAACTAGAGATGAAAGTTAAAGTAAATAAGTAAATAACTATAAAAGGTGGGGCCCAATAAGGGTTAATTAGGCTAAGCAGATAAGTTCAAAGTGCTCTTCTCTATTCATCTTTCCACTCTTTCACATTTCCACCTCAAAATGAAAAGCGTTTTCACCAAAATAATTGAGGTTGGCCACGTGGCCTGCAAAGGCCCCTCAACTCGCGTTTATTGAGCATCTATACAATGCCGTCTAGTTTTGACTATGTGATATTTATATAAACTCAAATCTTTGATGACATAAATAAAATTGTATAAAATTAATAAAATTCACTCTAATACAAAGAGATTGAGTATCTATTGGGTCTAAAATAAACTTAAAGGTAGATCGTTTTTTTTTTTAGCTGTCACATCAGCAGGACTTAGTCTACTTTTATTTGTATCGAAAAATTTATTTTTTTAGACTAAGTCTATTTTATTGGGTGACATATAATTTTGTGAGATTAAAACTAAAGTATTGCGATGCTAGATGTAGAGAGAAGAAAAAGAAGAAGATGACGAAGAAGAAGAAGATGATGATGATGATGATCATGATGTAGAAGAGGGAATGTTGTGCAGTTTCTAACACTATTTTGACCTGGCAACAGCAGACCCACACCCCACGTATGTGTAGCGTCTATTATACAAAACAGAAAAATAAAAATTATCTTCATCATCCGGATAAATAAAACATCCCTCTTTCTTATCCTAAACCAAATTTCCACGAAAAAATAAATAAACTGTATAATCCGAAGTAAAACCAACTCATCACAGCAAAATCGTTAGCTTCCAGTCGATGCATGGAAAATTTGTGAAGGAAAAGAATTCAAAGTTAAACCAACTGCTATGGCGGATTTGTTCTGCCCGGAGTGCAAAAGGCCGACGGAGGTGGTTTTCGACCACTCGGCCGGCGACACTGTGTGTTTGGAGTGTGGGCTCGTGCTTGAGGCCCACTCCATCGATGAGACCTCCGAGTGGCGGACTTTTGCCAACGAGATGGGCGACAATGACCCGGTCCGAGTGGGCGGGCCCACCAACCCCTTACTCGCCGATGGCGGTCTTTCCACGGTCATCTCGAATCCAAATGGGTCGTCGGGAGATTTCTTATCTGCATCTTTGGGCCGGTGGCAGAACCGAGCGGCTAACTTGGATAGGTCACTAATCCAGGTTTTCAAGACTATTGCGACCATGGCGGATAGGTTTGTGAACCTGCTGCTTTTTGTGGCTTCTTTGGATAGTTTGCTGAAATGTTGTGATTAATTTGCTTGTTTAGGTTCAATTTGGGGCTTTTGCGACTTTTTTAGGTATTTCATGTGAAGAGTGGATTTTGTTCGGAAAGAGGTTTTTGGTAGAGGTTTTTGAATCCATTTTGGAAAATAAACTGAAAATCTCAGGTGAGCCATGATTTGCTATCTCACTCGAGCCATACAATACTTGTGGTATGTGATTTTGAAAGAGAGGTGATAAACAGTTTTGAGAAGGTTCAAGTATTTTATAGTTTAAGGTTCAATCAAGTTTTATGAATGGCCTATATAATTGCTTGAGTTGGACAGGCAATCATTGTTCATATGGGTATTCGAAACAAATTTCATTGTTTGAAGAACTTGAGTTGGCATATGGAATGGGGTTATACGTATCTGTCTATATCTGCCCAAGTTAGGCTCGGGAAGAATCACGGAGCATAAAGCACTTAAAACAGAGTGCATTTTTTCGTCTTTGATATGCTCTTGGTAAATGTGGTTGTTTATTATATGAGGAAACATTTCTCTTCAAGATCTTTCAGCAAAGTTACCTACTTATGGGTTATTATATTGCCTTATATCGAACTCCAGTCAGGGTCGGGTAATTATGTTTTTTCTCCCATCAAATCAAATACTAACAAATATATGCTAAAATTTTCAGGTTAGGTCTTGTTGCAACCATAAAGGTATGTATCCATTTGAATTCCCTTGTGTATTTTGTAAATTGGACCTCATTCCTGTTCTTTACCGCCCACCAGGAAAAGTTTATTTCTCTGAACTCTTATTGTGATAAAATGTTATATTGAGTTTGTGTACCGTTGCACATTCACATGAAAAAATGATGTGTTTCTTTTCGCATTTAGATTGTAATTGAAACGTTGATTATATTTTGCTCTTGATAGTAAACTCAAATAAAGGTTGAATTGGCATGTGGATTGCATTGAAACTTGGACTTGTCAACTAACCTACCACAAATCCTCGAACAAGCATGCCAATGTTATGTAGGAGCTGTTGGAATTGATATACTTTTTATTTTAAAAAAACAAAAATAGCCTAAATGTCAGCCAATTTTCTTTGTTCAAGCACACTTCTTCTGTTTTATCCACTTCAAAAATTAAACTTCATATAACTTAGGATTTATGCACATCAGGATTTTGGCACAGAGCATTTTGTCTCAAAATATTGGGCCGTCAATTTAAATTGAAACACTCATAATCCATTTGGAAAATTGGTTTTAGGATCGAGCGAATGAAATATATAAGAAGGTGGAAGATCAAAAGCCTCTTAAAGGACGGAATCAAGATGCTATCTTGGCTGCTTGCCTCTACATTGCATGTCGGCAAGAGGACAAACCACGAACCATGAAAGGTATGATTTTGAGCTCCCTTGGGCCTTTTTGTGGTTCGTGTTCGTTGTTTTAAAGCAATTCCTGTGTGGATTTAAACAGAAATATGCACTGTTGCAAATGGTGCAACCAAAAAGGAGATTGGGCGAGCAAAAGAATTCATTGTGAAACAGCTAGAGTTGGAAATGGGTCAATCGGTGGAGATGGGAACTATTCATGCAGCGGACTTTTTGGTGAGCCCAAGTCTCTCTCTCTCTCTCTCACACACACACACACACACACACTCACACACACAAGCAGTCGTATCTCTAACCTTGTTCCCGTGGATGGTTTGTATGCATTGGTTGTAGAGACGTTTTTGTTCGCATTTGGGTATGACAAACCAAGCAGTGAAAGCTGCTCAAGAAGCAGTACAAACATCCGAAGAGCTTGACATAAGGTATTTATACTTTTACTATCCAATTTTTTACTATCTAACTGGCGTTCATTGTAGAGTCTTGCATTTTGCTATTAAGTTACTTGCAAGTGTTTTTTTTATTTTTTTAATTAGATATCATTTTTATACTGACCCTCAATGTCAATTTTTTTTTTTTATAATGGATATTTTACACCAAAAACTAAACGTTGGGGAAAAATACAACAATTTTTTTTAATCTTCAGAAATCTCCCCTTGACATTTGTTTCTGTTTTAGAAATTACTTCTCATGTTCATTTGATAAATACAAATCTGAAGTATAATTTCAAGATAGTTGTATTTGTAAGAGAAATAGCATCTGTGTGGCATTTTAACTATGCATTTTGATGCAGGAGAAGTCCTATATCCATAGCAGCAGCAATAATCTACATAATTACGCAACTTTCAGATGACAAGAAGCTTCTCAAAGGTGACGAAATTCTCCTCCTCACCAAATAGTTATCCACACAAAAAATGCTCCTTAACTCTTTTACCTTCTATAGATATTTCACTTGCAACTGGAGTGGCTGAAGGTACAATTCGCAATTCGTATAAGGATATCTACCCGCTTGCGTCAAAAGTAGTTCCGAATTGGTATGCTACAGAAGAAGACCTCAGACAACTTTGCACTCCATGAGTTGACTTATCAGGAAGCAGCTTTTAAATGTTTAGCCAAAAGTGGTTCATTGATGCAAAAGGAGCCCCTCTGACCAGTTGCTGAAGTAGATCTATTAAATGCTAATGTAGAAGCTTCTCTTTTGTTGTAACCTTAATATCAACATTGTGTATTTTAATGTTCATGAATTGAATTTTGTAATTAATCCCTCGTTAGATTTTCCATTAACTCGGTTACGTGAACCAGTCAAGGATGAAATGATATTTACCATTTTTGTACAAGCATTCTCATATGATCCACAAGCGATGGGGCAGTTGGGATATGAGAAAAGGTGTTGAAGATATACTGGTATGATTATCTCACCTTCGGCATAACAAATGATTTGTATCTCACATTCAGCGTAACAAGTATTTCGTACAATTTATAAGTAGAAACGGGATAAATCGCAAAACTACAAGTGAAGAAGAAGTCTTGTTTCTTTTAACAACTTCCGAACTATCCATAAAAGATGTAACTTTGAAATACTGCCTCCTCTTACATTTTTGGGTTCTTCAAATGCGGCCCCACAGCTTTTTCTTTTTAAACCTATCAGCATTGCCAACACAAGAAGTCCACACAGGCCACAACTATTTCAGTTCCAAGACTGCACGACACATTAACTTGTCAACATGCGTAACGACCATTGCTTAAATAGCTTTTGAACAAACTCGTACCTGCATGCAATCACAACAGATGTCATTCCCATATGAAAGAGAATAATTTTGTGACTCCTTCAATTAAGAAAGAGCAGTCAAAGGGTCAATCAAAAGAAGGGTCATTATTTGTATATTTTGTATAAATACAAGTGAATTTTGAAAGCATAAGCAAGAAGAATTTGCAATTTTCTGCACAAAACTACATCAGAGCATAAAACAGTATATCATCAACACGTGGAAGAGCGACTGACATACCACAACCCAAATGTTAACTCCCATCAGTGTTCAACAAATTCTTCTTTTTTCTTTTATGCTTAGGCTTCACTGCATCTTTTAACGTCTTGGGTTTGGTCATCTGCTGTTGAGCTTTAGCTGTATCTTGCGATGGAGGTGATGGTGGATCTTCATCTCTAAGGGGTTGATCAGACTCTGGATTTTCAGGAGGTAATACATCCATCTTTTGTTCGGGGATCACTGCAGCTGTGAAATATAAAATTACTTGCACATTTCAACTAAAACAGAACACTCCTGTAAGTAAAGTAGGGTCAGACAACAAATGATTTTTTTCATTCAAAAGATGCTCCCATTTTTTTTAAACAAACTGTTCCGTTTGGATTGAATTCATCATGGCACTACTCATATATGAATTATCCTGCAAAATTACAAAGAAATGGAGCAAGCAAGAAGGAAGATTTCCATTAAAGCATTAGAAATCATGCATTTATGGACATTATTAAGCATACATTTATATTAAATTACCTCGCAAACCCAAAGATGCCTTCAATTCATCAACGTTGACACCCTTGGAATATGGATCCCTGCATTAAAACATGTTGCTTTCAATACAACAATGAACTTCCATTAAGAATTATAGTGTTATGATTGATAAAGTGCTTTATATTCAAAAACATTATATTTCATATGACATGGATGTGTATCTATATTAATTTGTTCACACATATACATGATAAAACTGCAGATAATGATAAATATAAACTACAGATGCTTTTGGGAATTCTGGTGAGATTATAGCCCTGATGGACCTCAATCCCGTATTTGGCATGCAAAAGTCTACACTTATCCTGACTTTGATGTTAATGTCTATTGGATTATTTATTAATATATCCCACGTGGGCAAGGTTTTGCCGCAAGAAGATTTATGTGGACTTCTGGTAAATTATCAAAGTAAGATAGAGTAGGAACTTCGCTTCTTTATTAGGGGCGTAATCAACTTTTCACTGAATGGGATAAGGGACTCTAGATATACATCTCCGCCCCTCTGACCCAGTTTACGTCATATAGGGAAAATTTTACTGGCCTGACATTTTGGATGCGCTTATATATTTCTTCTCAAACTGTCGGATATAAAAGAGCCCTAAAGGGAATCTTGGATCACGCATTGAAAAAACTATGTAAATTGCAAACNAAAAAGAAGATCTTCAAATAGGCCGGAATAATCCGAAGATATACAGCCATACCAGCTAGATGGCCCACCAATAAAAGCTCTAAGTTTGACATTCCCCAAACTGCTTTCATCATTTTTAGATGAATTGGTTTCTATTTCCATGTCCTCTTGCGTACTTCTATCCTCTGTTTTCATTTCACGCTTCCCCATTGCCTTTGATAAATTATCAACTCCCTTCTGAGCAACTTGGCTGACGCCAACAAGATCAGGGTGTCGTTTGATCTTTTTCAAAGCTCTTGCTGAGTTGTAGACTTCAACCTGCAAACCAGTCATAATTTTAGTATGGAATACTTCCAGAGATATAAAATCTTACATTATGGGGTTCTTGCATATGCTACCACGAAAGATTCCTAGCATATATTCCCCAACCCAATAACTACAATCTTTTCAGTTTGCTAGCTTCTTGTGATATACCTAAACAAGAGTTAATGTCATCAAGAAATGCACAAGCGAGTGGTTATAAAAGCTTCCTTCAAAAACAAATCAGTCAAAAAGGCATCTTTGTATCTGACGTACAAGCAGGCACACACAACACAGCTTGCAAGAACCTTTCAAATTACATAAACAATGATCACTGAAACTTCATAATGATATAAAGATGCAAAGGAGAATATTTATGATATTCGCCTATGGTATTCTTAGATTATTTGTGAAATGTACATCAAGGCAAATAGCCCAATATGCCCATTGCTCCACACAAGAAATAAGGATCTATGATAAATACCCATACACAATGATTACCAGAGTTCAAAAACCACGATTACCATGCAGTATACAACACAAAAACGTACTTCATGGAGATGAGAAAAATGAAAAATCACGCAAATATTTGGCAATGAAATATTGTACATGTCAGAAGAACTACTAACCTCTTTCTTTATTTTGGTTGTTATGTCGCCAGCCTTTACAGATGCAATCCGCAAGCACTGCATAATAACACTCTGTATGACGCCTTCTCCTCCAGCTTTCTGGATAGCACAGACGTCACCATTTGTATTCAGAGTAGCAGTCAATTTTCCTCCCATAACAGCTTCTTCAAAGTGTGACGGGTCAATAACCTAACGAAACATGTCAAAAGCAGAAGTAATGTCAAAAAACACAGCTCACCAGAGATAACATGAGAACATGAAAAAAACAAGTGAAAACAATAGCAGTGGGGATGATATTACAAAAAACATGCTTACCACAGTGCTCTCAGCCCCGATAAATGCAAAGGTAACAGCTATAGGGAGATGGTGTATAATCAAAGGAAGTGGTTCCCTGACCTAACACATTCATAAAAACAAAACATGAAACCAAGTATTGGAATTGCAACGAATATTGTTGAAACTACAATTTAATCAAAAAAAAAAAAAAATTGTTGCAATGTTGTACATGAACCTTCTAATTGTTCAATTTGATGCACACTGATATTTCCTGGCACCAAAAGGCAAAAGCTAACATGCCGCAATGGAAATTTCATGTTGTAAGTTGTAGCCATGTTGGATGAAAATGTATAGATTTACAAAATTTTGGTTATTTGCAAAATCATACACGGACAATTGCAATTTGCAATTCCATACGCAACCATAAAGGACTATTTTCAATTTATTTTGATGTCATGATATCAAGAAACACACGATTTATGAGCTTAAAAGGTTCCATTTGAATTAAAAACAAACAACATAATTTTATCAAATGAGAACACTTGTATTAATAACAACCAACACTATCATAAACAATGAGCAGCACCATTGGAGCTACAAGCTTGTGGCAAGTGGAAAAATTATTTCAACCTTCAACTCTTCTATTATGCATGAATATACTTTTGGACGAGTGTGAATCACAAATGTTTTATAATCCTAATGTAATTATACATATTTGTTTCATAAGAATGGATCGAAAATGCAACTCATTTGGAGTTTACAACCCTCAATAGTTTACTATCCTAATGTAATTATACAAATTTGTATTTTGCAGGTTATGCATAAATCACGTGTTTCCTGACACCGCAATAATAAAATTAGGAATTATTGATTTGTCATGTGTGTCGAATTGCAACATTTCAATAGTTTGTGCTCGATTTTGCGAATAGTTTGTGAATTAATATGCAAATAACAATGACATATTTTCATTCTATGTGGCTTCAACCAACCACCACAACATTTGCCTAGCAATTTGTCAGGTTATGGTGGCTGAAAAAATTAATGCATAAAATTACATCAATTAGAAAGTTCATGTATGGACATTGCAACAAAAAAAAAGTTCGTATAAAATTGTAGAAATGAGAAAAGTTTGTGAATCAATATACAATTAAACCTTTCGAAAAAGTACTCAGTTACTTTTAAATAGTCACAACAAACCTAATCTAAACAGATTTCAGAGTCTTGAAAGTCCAAAGATATAATGCATACCAAGTCTGCCTCAGTAGTGAAGCAGACTCATATGGAAGAGCAATGCTTCTGACAAACCTTATCCAGAAGGATAATTCATTCTGACAAACTTCATAGATTGCACTATGAATATAAGTAAAATTCAAAACAGTTCCATCAGAACTTCAATTACACCGAAAATAAAGGAACGAAAATAACTCACTTCAGGAGGATGTATGGTAACTTCCTGACCATTTTCTCCTCCTAACGTGCATTCTGGCCTTCTGAAAGTCAAAAGAGCGGTCAAAGCAGCTATATTGGCAGCATCCACAAGATTCCTATTCTCAAGGAACAAAGCAATGCCAACAAAGTTAGGTTATAGCATATAAATCATATACACATAGAACTTGAAGATGTACGTACACCACTCACCCGCCATTGTCCAGAATGTGAAGATCGATACGAATAGACCACACCCATTTACCAGCAACGACACAAAGTGATTCTGTGTCCACTGCCCTGCTTTCCCTGCAACACACTTCTGATGGCTCACTACAAGATAATTATTCTGATTTGCTATCCTAATGCAAGAAATAGAATGCATTGAGAGGATGAACACATTCAAGTCCCGTCACATTTTAACTCTAATTGTCATTTAACCAAATAAGTTAATTAATTTCAACAACAAAAGTATATAGGTTTTTCTTTCCCCTAAAGAAAGTCTAAATGCACTGGAAAAGAAAATGCAGCTTAATTCATTACCTCAACCCACGATCAATTATGCGTCCTAACTCCACGGCAAATTCCCCAGGACGCCCTACTTCAAATGAAGGATCTGCCATTGGAGAGAATTCAGTAAATATGGAAAGAGTTCCTTCGTTCGGGCGGTCACGATAAGGTTGCACCAGCTGGGAGGTTACAAATCCCATTACACGAGTCTGACCTAGTTTCACCTCTGATGAGCCATCTTCACTGTTTATACACCAATAATTCGAGCCAACGTTGAGATTCACATACCATGATAGCATCCCAGATTGTCTCAAAATAATTTTTCATTGTTGCTTTGAAAAAACTTCTACAAATGCGAAGCAGAACAAGAGCAAAGCAGGTTGGTACATATGCAACCATTATAACGATGTTTCCTAGAAAAACATTTGATAATACATTTTACTGAAATACCAAAAAAAAGAAAAAAATGCATTAAATGTTCTTACCTACCAAACTGGATTGTTAAGCTTCGATAATCAAAAGGACCGCGACCATCGATTCTGAGATCCGACAGCAGCGCCGTCTCGATGAATTTCTTCTCATTCACAGTCATCCGCCATGTATTTGAAAGCCTCTGCTCCATTTCTTATGGCTCCCAAGTGCTTGCGTTGTAAGAAGGGAGAAAATAGCAACAAGTAATTAGGGTTTTTATTCAGGGTTTATTTGCGTTAGTCTCCTCAGTCCTCACTCGGGACAAGCACAATATGCCCTGTTTGGCTTCCGTATGAGGGGTTCGGAACTACGTTAATTTTAAAATCCTAAAGAAAAAAAAATCATTTCGCAATTCAATAAAGTTTGTTTTCACTTTTGGTATATTTTTATTTTTTTTTTGTCAAAAGGCAAATCAAAAACTCTTATAAACCTTGAAAATACAAGAGTACATGAGTAATATCCACTGAATAAAAGGTTAATCTCCCTCTTAACTGGAAATGAACTAGAGCCATCCGGGTGAGCAAAAATTACTCAGCCTTAACAGTCGACTTGGGCAAGACTAAACTACTAGAGCACACACCCAAACCAAACTCAAAAGAACAAAGCAAACAAGACATTAAACATCCTCAACAATAGTTCTTACACTAACACCAAACATACAAATTCTATTCAGAGGAGCAGCATTGCTTTTGTCAGAGTGGCAACTCTAGTCCAGGGTCTTCTCTAGTCCCCAACTCACAGCTTGCAGCACTGCCTCCTAACTTGCAGCTTAGTCCAACGATGCGGACCATCATTGCAAGACTTTCCCCTCTTTCTCGGCAGAGCAACCCATCCCAACTTTACCTCTAGTAGATATTATAACACTGACCGCTAAAACAAGTTGCCCTACTCCCTTTAAAAACTTACCTACTTGTGTAAGTCTCCTCTTCTTATATATACTACATGCCCCTCTCTCTCATCTCATACGCAAATAAAGTTCTCAACATCAAGGGCTTTGTGAAAAGACGAGAGAAGCGGGAGAGAGAAACATAATCCACGATCGGCCAGACATACAAGAACAGGGAAGGACTAATGGATTCTTGTAAGTTTCTATGTGCAATTTAATTTATGCAAAAGATCCATGTTCTATGAATTGATAGAATTACATGTTTAGGGTTTATTCAATTTCGCCTAATTGTTATGAATATACCCGTTAAATTTCTTACATGTGGTATTAGAGCACGTGTTTATGCATATTATTTTGCCATATAAAATATTGAAATTGCGTACGGCGAATTTGGTTTTTTGCTTCTGTCAATTGTGTACAGTGAATATGAATGGATTCTTATTCTTGCTAATTGTTTCTGCCGTCATTATTGACTCTCAATTGATATTGATATTTATGTTCCCATTATTGATTACATAGTTGCTGTAAGTGTTTATTTGCCAATTAAGGTTGGGAATTATTTACTCAATTTGTTATAATATTGCCATGCTGAATTATAATAGTGCCGTAAGCAACAATCAGATTAATGGATTCTTGATTTCATATATGCGGCTTTATATTGTTAATGATCATGATTGTCGAAAGTGTTTCATATTTGCTTTTTTATTTTAATATCGTTAATGATCGTGAAATATTAAGCATTCAGTATTGTCGCAAGTGTTTTCAATATACGAGGCATGGATTATTTACTGATCGTGTATTATTAAGGCTGATGAATATTTTGGTCCTATAACTTTAGTTCATCTTATTCTTAGTTGATATGGACGGTAGAGATTTGTTATAGTTTTTATAATCTCATAAAATATAATTAAAATAAAATATTATCTAATTATATTATCTATGTAAGAAACTAGTTAGTCATCAAAGTGGCCTAGTTTAATTTATGGAATAGATAATTAAATTAGATAAAAATATCAATTATTCAAATATAAGACGATGTCTTATTAATGTGCCCTAATATTGTAATATTTGAATGATTGATGTTATATATTATAAACTAGGAGGACACCCAAAGGTGGGCCATGGTTTGTAATATATGACAATAAAAGAGAAATTATATTAAAGTTAGGTTAATTAGTGTGTTTGTCCAAAGATAACCACTAGTTGATCACAATTCTTGTAATTTCTATTAAAGATTATTTTCTCTTAGACATCAATTAAATACATTATATATTTAAGTATTGCCCAAAGGTTATTTAAATATATAATCTTAAATATTTCCGAATCCATAAAATTTTATCAAAGCATAATCTAATAGCATGTATTAAATTTTGCAGCACTTAATTCCGGCTTTCCGTCAGGCATTATGGTTGAAAAATTCAATGGAATGAACTTCACTGAATGGTCTGAGCACATCAATTTTCAGTTAGGTGCTATGAATTTGGATATGGCTCTAGTTAGTGATGAAGTACCCGCAACCATTACTGATGAAAGCTCCGAAGAAGAGGTAACTCTTCGTATGGCTTGGGAGCGATCAAATAGGTTGTGCTTGAATTTTATGAAACTAACCATGGCGGATAACATTAAAGCTTCAATGCCAAAGGCTGACAATGCGAAAGAATTCCTAGGAAAGATTAAGGAACTATCTCAATCTGAAATTGCGGACAAGTCAATTGTGGGGAAGCTTATGGGCGAACTCACCACTATAAAGTTTGACTGGACCCGCTCCATCCATGATCACGTAACCCACATGTCCAACATATCAGCTAAACTATCAAACATGGGAATGGAGGTGACCGACTCATTTCTGGTTCAATTCATCATGAACACCCTACCTGCCGAGTTTGGCCAGTTCCAGGTGAACTACAACACCATTAAAGAAAAGTGGGACTATAAAGAAATTAGGGCCATGCTTGTGCAGGAAGAGGCGAGAATAAAGAAGGTGAAAGAGGAGTCGATTCACTTTGTATCTCATGTGGGAGCCAGCAAGAGCAAGATGAAGATGGGAAACAAAGGCAAAGGAAAGGAGGTTGGTCCACTCAAAGTTTCTGGAGGACCAATCATTAAAGAGTTGAGGTACTTTTTCTGTAAAAAGTTAGGCCATCTCAAGAAAGATTGCTCGAAAAGGAAAACTTGGTTCGAAAAGAAAGGTATGCATTATGTTTCTGTATGCTTTGAATCAAATTTATTAGAAGTTCCCAATAATACTTGGTGGCTTGATTCTGGTGCAACTACTCATGTATCCCATATTTTGCAGGGATTCAGTTCGATCCAAATCATAAAGGAAAGTGAGCAATACTTATTCATGGAAAACAGGATGAAGGCACGAATAGAAGGCATAGGGACGTATAGATTGATCTTGAGCACTGGTTGTAATATAGATCTTGAAAGATGTCTTTATGTACCTGAATGTGCTCGCAATCTTGTTTCATTAAGTAGATTGGATCTTTTAGGTTATTTCTTTAATTTCGGTAATGCTTCTTTTTCATTGTACAAGAACAAATTATTTTGTGGCAATGGAAATTTGATTGATTCGCTTTACCGTTTTGAATTGCATAAAGAATTTTCTGAATCCTTGTTTAATGTTCAAAGTGTTCTTGGGATCAAACGTAGTGCATATAATGAAAATTCTGCTCTATTATGGCATCAAAGATTAGGTCATATATCCAAAGAAAGGTTATTAAGGATGGTGAAAAATGAAATCATCCCTCACTTGGATTTTAGTGATCTAAATGTATGTGTAGAATGCATTAAAGGAAAGCAAACTAAGCATATATTAAAGAAATCAGCCACTAGAAGCACTCAACTCTTAGAACTTATTCACACTGATATTTGTGGTCCATTCGACGTTCCTTCATGGGGCGGTGAAAAGTATTTTATCACCTTTACAGATGACTTCTCACGTTATGGTTATATCTATCTACTGCATGAAAAGACTCAATCATTGGAATATCTAAAGATATACATTGATGAGGTGGAAAGGCAGTTAGATAGAAAAGTGAAAGTTGTGAGATCTGATCGTGGGGGTGAATATTATGGTAGGTTCAATGAAAGAGGACAATGTCCTGGTCCATTTGCAAAGTTTCTCGAGAGTCGAGGCATTTGTGCACAATACACTATGCCTGGGACTCCTCAACAGAACGGTGTTGCTGAGAGGAGAAACCGTACTTTAATGGATATGGTTAGGAGTATGTTGAGTAATTCAACATTACCGTCATCTATGTGGATGCATGCATTAAAGACTGCTGCATATTTGCTAAACAGAGTTCCTAGTAAGGCAGTTCCTAAGACACCTTATGAACTGTGGACGGGTAGGAAACCTAGTTTGAGGCATCTCCATGTTTGGGGGTGTCAAGCAGAAGTAAGGTTATATAATCCACATGAAAAGAAACTTGATCCTAGGACAGTCAGTGGTTTTTTCATTGGCTATCCGGAAAAGTCTAAAGGATATAGGTTCTACTGTCCTAACCATAGTACGAGAATAGTTGATTCCGGCAATGCTCGGTTCATTGAAAATGATCAAATTAGTGGGAGTTTGGAACCGCGAAGTGTGGATGTCAATGAAACTCGGGTTGAATTGTCCAAGCCCGAGAGTCCATCAACGGTTGTTATTCCTCTAGTCGCAGTACCGTCACGCAACTTAGATGAACAACAGAATGATCCAAACTCATTTGATAATGAACCGGTCACAAGCAATCAAGAGATTATAGAACAACCTGTGGTAGATGCATCACAAGTTTCCAATGATCCACATAATGAAGTGATAGTGAGACGGTCGATAAGGGAAAAACGACCTGCTATCTCTGATGACTATGTGGTTTATTCTCTTGAGAGTGAATGTGACTTGAGCATGGATTTAGATCCAATGTCGTTTAAAGAAGCCATGGAAAGTGTAAATTCTGAAAAGTGGATCAATGCCATGAAAGAAGAATTAAAGTCAATGGATGACAATAAAGTCTGGAATTTAGTAGAATTACCTGAAGGGTCTAAGAGAGTCGGGTGTAAATGGGTTTTCAAAACCAAACGCGACTCTAAAGGTAATATCGAAAGATATAAAGCTAGACTTGTTGCTAAAGGATACACCCAAGAGGAAGGCATTGACTACAAGGAAACATTCTCTCCGGTTTCGAAGAAAGATTCCTTGAGAATTGTATTGGCAATGGTAGCTCATTATGACTTGAAGCTTCATCAAATGGACGTAAAGACTGCCTTCCTAAATGGAGAATTGGAAGAGGAAGTTTATATGAACCAACCAGATGGTTTTGAGATCACAGGAAAGGAAAATCTAGTGTGTAAGTTGAATAGATTGATATATGGACTAAAGCAAGCCTCTCGACAATGGTATCTCAAGTTCAATGATATCATCACTGCTTATGGTTTTGTAGAGAATACCGTGGATCGGTGTATCTACATTAAGGTCAGTGGGAGTAGGTTCGTTATTTTAGTTTTGTATGTTGATGATATATTGATAGTTGCTAATAATGTGGACATGTTGCACGAAAAAAAATTTGAAATGAAGGATATGGGTGAGGCGTCCTTTGTTATTGGAATAGAAATATTCCGGAATAGATCACAAGGACTTTTAGGTTTATCACAGAAAAGTTATATTTCGAAAGTTTTGAAGAGATATAAAATGGATGGTTGCTCTGCAGGAGTGGTTCCAATTCAGAAAGGAGACAAGTTTAGCCTTAAACAATGTCCGCAAAGTGAAATGGAACGAAAAGAGATGGAGATTATTCCTTATGCTTCTTTAGTTGGGAGTTTGATGTACGCACAGACCTGTACTAGGCCTGATATCAGTTTTTCCGTTGGTATGCTGGGAAGATACCAAAGTAATCCCGGACTTGATCATTGGAAAGCTGCGAAGAAAGTTCTTAGGTATTTACAAGGCACCAAAGAACACATGCTTACTTATAGGAGATCCGATTCGTTTGAAGTGATCGG